AAACACTTATTGTAAAACCATTCGAGCTATTGTTAATTTGTTATTCGAACTTGATTGTAATCGATGTTAAGTGTACCGTCTTACTGAAATCTAATTGAATAAACCACTAAGTCATTAAGCTAAGATATCTGATAAATTTGTCATTTCATCTAGTCTTACATTTTACGTATTAATGGTATTCTTTTTCATTGTCATTGATAAATATTACTATTTACTTTCATTATGTTTTAGATTAATCTATATTTAAGTATGGAGAGTAAACCACATAAAAAAGAAGATTTAATGCTTACATTTCAAGTCCTACGTCTAGTTGAAGGTTTATTGAAAGAAGTTGATGGTCCATTTCGTGTTTGTGGTTGGACATTGAATCCATTAGTGTATAATATATTTAAATTAGTTTTACTTTCTTGTGTATCCACTTTACTATCTGAGTCATTGGGCTTTAAATTAAAATTATACAAATTAAAATTAAATCCATCCAATTGGTAGAACGATTAGACGAAAACATTGACGAAAAAGATAATGTAACAACAAACGTAGGGTCATAAACAAGAAAAAGAACGTAATTCTCTGTCCAGTAACTATTTCTTTGTCTAGTTCTTTTTTCGAATTATTCATTTGTTTCCATATAATTAATTCAGCAAAATAATCACCTCACATACTTGTTAGTCCTATTACATTGTTCAATAGCTTAATCACAGTAAATCGTCAATTTGACTTTCATTAAAAATAGAAATTCAAACAAACTATTGTGTTTGTGCTTATTTATTTCTTTATTCTCATACCATTCAGAAGACATGTACTATTCTCCTTCTTGTTAAATGATTAGATTAATTTGTTACTAAATCAATGTAATAATATAAACAAATCCCAGTTTTGATTTCTTTGTCTCTTTTAAATCTTGCAAAATGATAAATGAAACTGTTAATTCGTTTACTTTCATTTTAGTGTTAATTCTGCTTTTATTTTCGTTTATTACAATAGTATTAATAATATTATTATGCATGAACTCTATGGTTTATTGATCTAATCAATGAAAGCTTAAAATTATATTCATTTGCTGTTACCACTGTATTATAACTATGTATGGTTATTTATTCATTAGAAAATTTCGAGGCTATTATTGTTTCAGTATACGTATGTACGTGCATTTCATGGTCTCAACTAAAAGCCAATACTTTACACTATATATATATATATATATATATATATATATATATATATATAAGCAGAAAAAATGGGCTTCATGTAAAGAAACTTGGGAAGGAAATCTTTGTTGCTATTTTCTCTCATGGAACAATTTTCTTTTTTGTCATAAATTCATATTTTGTACGGTTGAGTAAAAAAAAGTAATGACTGTACAACAATCTCCTCATGCGTTGATTTGCCTTAATAATTCCCTTTGTTTTCTGTAACTATCTATTCATAGTGTAGTGACTGTATCTATGTTAATTGTGTAATTTCTTTTTCTCAGCATTAATTGTTATGATTTCTTGTGCATACACTGGGCATTAAATATCATTGTTTTAAAATGTGAATTATTCGTAGTATTTTATAGAGTTTGTTTCTCTATTTGTTTTTAAAAAAAAATTGAAAACAATTCATTTCGAATAGTGCTATTTGGAAATGATGAAATTAAGGCGAAGCAAAAAGTCAATGAACATTCTGCATGTGTGCTACTATTCCGAGAAATAAGATGCAACAAATTTTTCAATCTTGTATTCATTTAAAAAAAGTATTAAATGAGTGTATATTGTCGTTTCTCTTATTCGTTCGTTCGTTTTTTTGTAAACTACCCTATTTCTTGTCTTTGTTTGCAACTAAGCCATTATAATACCGTCATCATCAATGCTAGTATTACTATTGAGTAATATATTATTTTTAAATGCCAGTAGCTTTTATTACATATAAAATTTGCAGTATTAAAAATAAAGCATAACACAAGATTTATATGTTACAACAAACATATACTACTGTTTTGTTCCTTTTTATTTTGTTTGCATAACAGAGTATTACATCTTAATTTCAATAATATTGATGATTATGATAGTAATCTTCTTTTCTTCCTTCATTGTTTTCTTTGTTGTTTCATATTGGTTGTGTGTATTTTTAATTAAATATGCTTTGAAAGTTATTCTGTTAATTTTTCTGTTAATTAACAATAAACTAACCTTTGATGCAGATAATTAAAAATGATATAGAAATAATAGGACGATTAGTTGTTTCACAAATATGAAGGGTTTTTAATTTTTGACAGAATCATGTGAAAAATGTTAGCTTTATATGTTGCATTGTATCCATCCGATTTCGTTTGTCTAATGTACATACATATAAGTGAACAAGAGATTTTGGGGTACAATAAAGAACGTACATTTATATGTTGTAGTTTTCATTCTCTATCAATCTCAGGTAAACTTAATTGTTACCAGGATGATGGATATTTGTCACCTTAATTTCAACAACTGCATAACCATGTTCATAACAATACATAAGGATGAAAAGTAGACGACCTGTATTTAAGTCGTCAGACGATCAATTTCCTCAATAATTCAGGTAGTTTATCGACTATAAGATTTATATGATTGTCGATTTTTTGGTAAAGCACAAAAATCTCAGTACAAGATTCATATTTGTTGAATGTTTCATCTTTGAGTCAGCACTCCAGTTAATATCCTTTTCCGTAATTTATTTTCGATTAGGACAGAGAAATGATGTGATTTTCGGAGCAAAGGATTTTCACCCATACTTTGGCATGATTAATAGATTAAGGCTATTTCACAAGTTAGGCTTTACACTCTATAGTATTGATCAAGTGACAAAGTATGTTACTACTCTGAGGGGTAGGAATATACAATACGTTTGTGATTTTATCACTTATATGTATCCAAAAATGCATTTTATGGAGGAATTATGTGATTAGCAATAGTATGTAGCCATTAATACTCACTCTACACTATGTTGAAAGCGATTGTCTATAAATCTACAGCTTCTGGCGTACGGCCTTTCAACATTCTATTTGACATTAATTTTTGAAAATTGAAGTATGCTAATCATAGTAACAATAACCTCGGATCCTATACAATTCATAAAGAACCTTTAGCCTTTTGGTAATCTTCATTTTATCTGAGATTCATACAAGTGATCGAATCGACTACTGGTTATCTAATCAGTTAATATCTGACTACCAGACATCCAAAATTTTAACTGTACAAAAACTGTCTTTTAAGAAAAGATATGCAGCACATTCCCACTAAATGTAATACAATTGTTCTGAGATTGATGATTTTATGATATTAACAAAATAATTTTCACGTAATGTCACTTTTGAAGAAACTAGTATTGTTTATTTTACTTACGCCTGTTACATCCAATGGAGCATAGGCCGCCGATCAGCATTCTCCAACCCACTCTATCCTGAGACTTCCTTTCTAGTTCTATACAAATTTTGTTTATTCTTCTAATATCTGTTTCCATTTCTCGGCGTAATGTGTTCTCTGGTCTTCATCTTTTCCTTTGGTTTTCAGGATTCCATGTTAGGGCTTGCATTGTGATGCAATTGGGTGCTTTCCTCAACATGTGTCTTATCCACTTCCAGCGCTTCTTCCTCCACTGGAATCTGGTTTGTTCTCTCCCACAGTCGAATCTGAAGTATTTTGCATAGACAACTGTTAATAAACGTTTGTATCTTCTGAATGATGGCTTTCGTAGTTCTCCAGGTTTCCGTCCTATACAGTAAAACTGTCTCGACATTTTATTGAAAATTCTGAATTTGGTGTTGGTTGACAGACCGTTGTCTTAAGTTCCAGATGTTCTTCAATTGTAGATATGCTGCTCTTGATTTGCCGAAATTAATATACATAAAAACGTTTGGGAAAGTTGAATTGATGTATAAGATTAAATTTTAGAAGTAATAGTTAGTGATAACAAATAAAATTTAAATACAGTGTATAAGAATAGTTTTTGTTCTAAGATTAATAGCGGAAGATATGGTTAGTGGATATTGGTATTATTTTATAGACTATGTTAAATATCACACTTAGCATGGCTAAACTAGTTATTTGTAATGATCATTTGAGATCTGGAAGCTTTGGTCTTTATAATTTAAAGTTTGAATTCATATATTTCGCTTATCATGATATAATAAGCGTGGTTTGTTGACTTTTATACAGCATGTGATTTTGTTAAGTGGAATACAATTCCGTTACTTATATCATCGATGTCGACAACTTCACTTATCTTGGAAGTCTGATCAGCCCTAATGGGTTGGTATCTGACGAAATCTCAGCACGGATTCAAAAAGCTCGTTTAGCTTTTGCCAACTTACGTCATCTATGGCGAAGACGAGATATCCGTCTACCAATTAAGGGACGAGTATACTGCGCAGCAGTTCGTTCTGTTCTACTTTACGGCTGTGAAACATGGCCATTAAGAGTAGAAGATACTCGTAGGTTACTAGTATTTGACCACAGATGCCTTAGAAATATTGCTCGCATCTGCTGGGATCACCGGGTAAGTAATAGCGAGGTTAGACGCAGGGCATTAGGGAATGATGGTAAATCAGTTGATGAGGTGATGAATCTTCATCGACTGAGATGGTTGGGCCATGTGTTACGTATGCCTGAACATCGATTAGCACGACGCGCAATGCTAACTAGTGTTTAGGTTGGTTGGAAAAGAGTTAGGGGCGGCCAAACGAAAACATGGCATCAGTGCTTGAAGTCACTAACTTCTAGTCTGAGCCATGTTGGTAGATGCAGACTACTTGGTTGGGGTCCGCGTGACTATTGTAACCAATGGTTGGAGACTGTGTGATATGGCTCAGAATTAGGTGTATACACTCTCTGTCTTCCCTTAAGCTATTAGACTAAACTTACTTCATATCTTTCATTCTTCCTGTACTATATCCTCATATACAATCTTTCTTTGTTATATTACCACCGTTGAATTAACTACTTCTATGAATTCGGTGTTGATCTTGTTGTGCTAATGAGATATGGCAACTTGGACCGTTGCATATGTGTACCTGGTCCTTAAATATCAAGAAAGAATTCGTTCAATTATTTCACTAATAAATTTTATTAATTAAAGTTTATGAAGTGTAAAATGATGATTAAAATTTATAATTTTACCAATCAAAAGTTATAAAAACATTCAATATACAATGAATAAAAAGTCAAAATGCAATAATAGTGGCCCAGTGATTTGTTTTTTTTTATTATTTAAAAAGGTAATAAGATCAAAAAAAAAATTGTCACAGATGAAAAAAGGACTGTTAAGGATCTCCTTTATTGGTAAATTTAATATTATATAAAATGATAATAGGGGTGATGTGTTATAATAACCCATTAAAAATAATTATCAGTATTTAAATATAGATAATTGTTTCATCTTTCCAAACCATTCAATGTAATAATGAAGATAAAATACAACTATGGATATATTTATTATAGTGCATAAATGATCCTATACAACAGTTTTTATAAGTAGGCCTATATAAAATTCAATAGCAATTATATTAATATATAAGACTATTTAGACCTCGAGAAGCGTAAACTCCAGTGAATACTCCAAGAATTAGAAAGAATGCACCAAACATTCCAGCTAACGGAGCTCGATCAGGTGAACAACATCTGAAAAGTAAAACAAGTTGGTATAAAATCGATTCAGTATTGTACAAGCTAAGGTTTCATTGATAACAATAGCCTAGAAATAATCACTGCAGTACTGTGTGGGTTAGGAGTTGGGTGTAAGATTCATTTATAAAAATCCAACTGAACTACCTGTTGTATTGCCTCGCAAATTACTAGAACCTTCATTATATGTGTTTATGTTTTTTATAATTCCCAGTATATCTTCTGGTATATATTAATTAACACTAACGTGTTTCAGTCTTTCATGAGTTTCGGACAATCTGTGGAATATGACGCAAGCCGATAGTTTAGACGCGTTCAAAGTAGGAATCCTCCGACGGTTGTGTATAAATCATGTAGACCATTTTCAGACATGAATGATAACCTTTCTAAACAGCATAGTCAACTCACTGAATAGAAGTTCGCGACTATTCTTAGAAAGAGTAGGGACTAGGTCATCTGGGCCTGTTGACTTGTAGTGCTTGTTCATTGAAGATCTCTTCGTTAGGTGGCATCGCCTAGGAGGGATGGGGTGGCTCAATCGACGTTGTTGGAGCAACAGACTAGCTAAACTGTTCCTCGAAAAAATTAGCCAATCATCCAAGACGCGTTTGGATGCTAATAATTATTATACCGTCAACTTCATAAATTGTTTCACTGGATATAGACTTCTTAGTTTCAGTGACTCAGATGAGTTGAAGCAGTAGCCAATATTTAGTAGATGTAGCTGCTGCTCTCACCTCGTTAGCACGTTCTCAGTTCGTAAGTCAGCTTTATAAAATTTCCCGACGTTAAAATGTACATGTATCATGAAATTTGTGATTCTCCTGAGAAAACTAGTATGCAACAAGTTGTAAAAGGCCCTGCCAAAAACCAATGTTTGTAAACGAGGCTCGACTCGCTATTTTAATGGCATCATTCAAACGCAGCTAATGTCAGACTACATTTGTTGGTGAACTAGAAGTTAACATTGAACCAAACGCCATTCGATGTTTAGTCGCAATCAAAGCTACAAGCGATTCGCACACATCAATACATTTAGGGCACGACATTTACTGGACACTAAAATGCAGGATTAAATTGGTGCAAACTAAGCCATTGTCAGAATCTAAATAGGTACTCTAGGAGTTAAAGTCTTGTTCATATAGATGCTAACGATAGCTCTTAGCGTGTGAGCCTAGTCTTTAATTACAGAGTCAAGACGCTAAGTAGCTCGTTAGTCGTGAATGTGAGAGAAGTTGGTGCAGCCCAGAAACTGGTTATGACGTCCACAAAGGCACTGAGGTCGATAACATTATTTAACCTTCGACCACTAATTTCCTTCTGGCAAGAATCCCGATCGGTGCTTTTACACTCCTAGCTATCACAATAACGTCTATTGGGCACTGAAAGAGGCGAGTTTAAACCATACATATGGTTGTAGAAAACCTATATACAGTTTCTTATTCAGTAGTAGCATTCACAAAATCGACGACTCAGCAATTTGAAATTGTTTAGATAGCGCATAACTCTCAGTAGACACGAGCTGCTGAGTTAGAGAATGAAAGTGCACACAGAGGCCAGTATTCATAATCATTGACATATTTAAGTAGGGATCGGGATACTACCTGGTTGCTAAAACAATAGCAGGTGATTTCTGTAGAGAGTAACTAATTTAATCTCTCACTTATAAAAATACACCCTCGCCCCTTGAAGGTAGTGAATAAGACTTCCATGGTCAGTCCTTAATCACATGACCTTATGAGACAGCGGGGCAGAGGAGTCTCACAACCCTCCCCTCCACCAGAGTATTATAATCATAATCAAATAATTTATTGAAAATTTTTAGCGCTGAAAAAGTGTAAACGTAATATCAACTTACCTTGGTGCATACATTAAACCGAGTGATGCAAGATGTCCATTGCTTAATGCAAATAGAATACAACCTAATACGTATATATGATCATTTGTAATTAGAACAGATAGATGAGGATTTTCAATCCCGAAATTACAGGATAAAAAGAATGGAATGAAGATAATAGTACGTAAAAATACAGGAATCCATAGATAACGCGGTCCTGGCTGTTTAAAACAAACAAAATATTTAACAAAGAAACAAAAGTTTATTCAATTTGAGGCTTTTTTCCGAAAGTTCACATTGATGAAATTACTTTTTGTAGCGTACTGGATAGTTTCAATGATTCGACTTGGAATTCAGTGATGATGAGGAGGTATAACGTTATAATGAAAACAATAATAACGTGTGCACGGAGTCTTCTTTTCAGAAATTGGAAGCAATTGGTCCCTATGTTAATTTCGATAGTTGACCTTTTATTTTTACATATAAGTGTTCTTAACAAATATATGTGTTATCAGATTGTTTGCAATATATTGGGCTGATATATCACATAGTTCTGATAATCTTCGTCTTTTTATTACACTATCGAAAGTAATAACACTAATTTCAAATAAACAAATACACTATCAAGTAATAAGGAAGTTAGGGCTTGGTACAGATGTATATCGTATGTGCAGTCGTATCACCACAAAGAGATCACATGAACAAGGTGAATATTAACGTAGTAGTAGTATTAATATTATCACCCATACTTAAAAATGAGAAATAGGTAATGTGATTCACAGAAATCAAGGTTATGAAATAGTTTTTAAACTCAGAATCTAAAGGTAGCAGACAAAAAAGTGGATGCACATGGACTAAAAAAAATTTCCGTTTGTTAAATTTCGGAAATGACTTATGGAATAACGACGAGTTCTTGAGATTTTCACAATGAATAAGGTTTCAACAATCAGATCATTACAATTATTCGCAAAAGTACTTTACAAAACTAAAGATCTCTCTTTTCTTGTTTTTGAATAATGTAGTTATCATAATTATGATTTACTTAACGAATCAATCCATATGATATGCACTGTTATATGATTCCAATATGTTTACTATAGAACTATGTAGTAACAATGACTTCGATACAGTAAGTCCATGTGCATCTACCAGTTCAGTGCTCTTGTGGAGAAAGGTACGTAGGTTGTATTCAGCACCTGCTTTCGACTCGGATAAGAGAACATGTCCCAGTGTGATTATATAAGGGTGAAAAGGAAGCGGTTAGAAGTTCCATTCTTCAACATGTACACGAATCTAATTACTCTACCGATCCACAGGTTGATTTTAAGGTTATTTATACAATTCGCCCAAATCTACCAAGATTTCTTCATATCAAACTCCTTAAAACAGTAAAAGCTCTTGTCATCCAAGCAGGAACTGTGAGTACAAAAGAAATACGTCTTATCGTTACCTTTGCCTGAAACTATTATTATTATCAGTAAACACGGATAGTGGCTAGCAGTGGAATCTAGGACGCGCGTCTCGTCCTATTTGGGATTCGTCAGCTGGATGTGCCTGATATTATTATTATTAGCTTGATTCAATATTATATTATTTGGTACAAAATCGAATTCTCAGCATAAAGTATTTCAACATATTTACGTTTCTTATTTCTTCGTTGCTCCTGATGATAAACATTCAGTGATCGCCAGTTGGATGTCAGCAGTTCAGTCAATCGACATATGAATAATGTATATTCTTTTTGCTGCATGTTCCCAGCAAACACGACATCTCTGATTAGACCTTTTCTAACTTTTACAGCGAAAGGTTGTACAGTTTTCAGAAACGCACCGGAATAGGTTGTGTGCTTAATAGCCATAATGATGTATTAAAACAAACAATATTAGATAACTTGTTGAAATATATAGATGACGGGAAACAGGTAGCCCAGATGTTTAAGCAGGCCGCCCGTCTACCGTTTGATATTGATGTTCACTATGGGACTCGAACCCAGAACCTTTCGCTTCAAACACCGTCGCGTTATCCACTTAGTCCTAAACACCAATGGGAAGATTGCCAAATTTTGTGTGGAACGTTTTTGATTCTTTAAAGAAAGGTTATAAATTAGGCTGCTCTGTGACACAGAGTTGTTTTTTTATAGTGTCCTATGGACTTTCTAAAATGAGCTGTAGACTTTAATTTATGGTATAAACAGGTCAACATTGAGTTTCTTATTAGAATAATGAGAAATATCATCTTGTGATGTAACACTCTATAATCTGTGGTATATACAATGACAATCCATACTAGTAAACTGGTTCTGCAAATCAAATAAATGTTTCGTTTATAGTTCGTCCAATTGCAACCAATTCTTTTGATAGCCTTGTTAACTTGTGTGGAATAAAACAAATTAAAGAATGAAATAATGATGAAGTCATATTGTTATTTGTTTGAAATATAAATAAGAACTTGTTTTGAAAGATGACAACATTTAAACTAGAGGACCTTATACCAATCATTAAAGGAAAAAAGTTTCAAAAAAGTATGGAAATGTTGAAAAAACACATTTTCTAATATACTAAGGGAAATAATCTAAACAAAATGGTGAATAACATATTGTCCAATCTCATATTTATTACATATGAATAAAACAGATAAAAGTACTGAAAATATTGCAGTAAAGTTAATGAACTTACAAATTGTATCCAGTTACATAGGATACATCCCAACATTGCAAACACATTGAAAAATAAGAAGCAAGTTACATCAACAAACCAGAGAGCTAAAACAATATTGTAAAATTAAAAAACAATCACTTTAAATAAATATCATGAAAATCCAAATGTCTAACAAATATTAACAATTATTATCAGGAGTTTTGTGGAGATTTAGTATTTTCAGAGTTGAAAGCGTGAGTTAATTAAAACTAGACCACCAGGGAAAACCTGGAAGGCCGTTTTGTCCTATTGTGAGACTTCTCGGCAGTGACCAGTGAAGTTCAAAACTACGTCTGTTGTGAGACATCAACTCACTGAAGACATTTGGTGAACGGTTGCTCAACTTCGTGGATCGGTTGAAGTTAGACATAAACACCCTCGGATGCCAGCTCAGTGGTCTATCGGTTAAGTGCTCTGGCGCGAGCCTGGTAAGTCCTGGGTTCAAATCTCTCGAGGCGAGGTCGTGGATGCGCACTGCTGAGTCCCACAATAGGCCTTCCAGTGCTTCCAGGTTTTTGATGGTGGTCTAGCTTCAATTGACTGACGCTTTCAACTATCAAAATAATAACAAACTAGAAATAAATGGTAGAACTAATCATGACCTTCAATTACTATCTGTCTTTCTTAAAAGTAGTTTAAAGCAATTAGTCCCTTTGATAAATTTCGATAATGTAATAAGAAGACTAAGATTATCAGAACTATGTGACATATTAGCGCAATACATTTCCAACAACCTGATCACACATATATTTGCTAAGATCATTTATTTATAAAAATAAACGGTCAACTAGACTGGGGAATTGGGTGTAAGAATGGACAAGGATAATAATAATAACAATAATAATAATGTGAAGACAATTTGAAACCTAATCATTCTGGATAATAAGCTAATATTACCAGAGTAGGTTCAAGGTGAGAACAAACTGTTTTTGGATACACAAAGGGGGGTTGAATTTTCGTATCGCAAAGGCTTCAATAAACCTTAGTATACGCCCTTTTGCACACTACAAAAGCCGAGTTTAGATCAATCTTATGATCTGCTTTGATATGTTTAGAAATAGAGCATGATGGATGTTTATCCTCAACTGTTATCCGGTCATGTGATTCTATTTGTTTCTGCAACCATTTTGGTACATCTTCACACACCCTAATTTAGGGTGTAAAAGGGCGTATACTGAGATTTATTGAAGCCTCTGCGATACGAAAATTCAAACCCCCTTTGTGTATTCAAAAACAGTTTGTTCTCACCTTGAACCTACTCTGGTAATATTAGCTTATTATCCAGAATGATTAGGTTTCAAATTGTCTTCACATTATTATTATTGTTATTATTATTATCCTTGTCCATTCTTACACCCAATTCCCCAGTCTAGTTGACCGTTTATTTTTATAAATAAATGATCTTAGCAAATATATGTGTGATCAGGTTGTTGGAAATGTATTGCGCTACTATATCGCATAGTCCTGATAAAAGTACATTGTTTGTCTTTATTCAAAAACAAAATTATCAGAGGGAAGATGATAAATAAAGTTTCATCAAAATAACCGATTGTGTCATTGAATAAAAATAAAGAGAATTCAGAAAAAAGTATGCACTTCTGAGGCGTCAGTGATCCATTAATTCAAGTCCGAACTCTGTGTGCATATATGATACACTTAACCTCTCATACTTCTTTGACCCTAATTCCCTATTGCATGTTTTGGTCTTGTTTTTTAATTATTGTTTTGTAATGTTAAACAGTAATCATTTATCATAATTTTTAGAAACGATTGGTGTGCAGCGCTTACGATTCATAGGAAAACTTGGATAATACAACATTATGGTGTGCATTCGTTGACAGTATCGGACTAGATCTTGGACGATTGAAGAAAGTCGGTAATGAATCCTATTCGTTCTCATAGTTATTTGAATACCTGAGTTAGACAATATTTCTAATAGCTAAAATATAAGGCACAATTTCCCTTGTTGTAGACGGTAAGCTTATGGATAAAACACAAGTACGTAAAAACTTCCAAGTGAAACCCTTATAATATATTTATGTACATGCAACAAGATTGATTACATCGTACTACTATTATTAAATAAAAGTAGTCTAAAATTGACTCAAGACTTAAACTATATAATTACTAACACCTCCACAAAATCCCCTTTTGATAATAATCAACATATGCTCACTAGTGACTGGGTCCATAAGGTATTTCCCAGAGTTCTAGTGAGAAGCAGTGACCAGTGGAGTTCAACTAGGTCTGTTGTGAAATAGTAATTCACTGAAGACATTGGTGGACAGTTGCTCAATTTCGTGGGTTGGTTGAAGTTAGACATTAACACCTTTGGATTCCGGTTCAGTGGTCTATCGGTTAAGTGCGCCGGCGCAAGACCGATAGGTCCTGTGTTCGAATCTCGCGAGGCGAGATCGTGGATGTGCACTGCTGAGGAGTCCCATAGTAGAACGAAACGGCCTTCCAGTGCTTCCACGTTTTCTATGCTGTTCTAGCTTCAATTGACTCATGATTTCAACCATAAAATTACTAACATTTGAGTGTTCATAATACAACTAAATATTAAATACATGTGTTAAGAAATTGTTCTTATGAATTTATGTAACTTACTTTTTCGAAAATGGGATATAAAAACTGATAACTTACGTGGAATAAAATAGTCTGGATTTATTGGTCTAACACGTGACTGAACTGCCGGAAATATGGATAGTGTACAAAAGTATACACACCAAATGTTTGCACACTGGGACCCACATTCTTTCATGGTTAAACTGTATTTTGACCAATAGTCTAAACAGCGTTGTTTACCATTAGGCTTTAAATGATCAGAAATACAAAAAAAGGAAGCGCTTGATATTTTACTGTTTATAATAGTTAAGAAAAATTATGAAGTGCTAAAATACATTGACAAAAGGATTTATATTCATGAACATCCATACTTATACAATAGCATCTAATAAGTAGTAAACATATACAATTTCCATTTTTTTCTATTACTATGAAACATGAGAATTCAGTTGTGCCAAAATGCAACTTATCTCTACTGGACTAACAAACAAATTTAGTGGTCAAGTATAAGGTACAAATGAGAACTTGGTTTATTTGGAAATTGAGCAATTTCATCGAATTCATGAACCGATCTAAATTAGATCATTGAAAACCTGGAAGCACCGGATGACCTTTTCATTCTTTTATGGGACTCTTAATTAGTGTTCGGTATTTCCCGATTTCCAATCGTGGTTTCAGTTAGATAGGTTCATGATTTCAATGAAATTAAACAATGTTCACAACCTCATTATGAAAACTGCGTAATTGTTGGTGAGGGTGAAAGATGAGACCAATCTGTTTCTTGTGAAAGCTGGGTTTATATGAAATCTTGAGTTCAATCTGAAGTCTAACGCTTGTAGAATCTATTTTATAAAGGCTCAAAATGTTCAAAAGATATAAATATTTAGATACGGTTGTTTCCGAAGAACTACTCACGTGTGTAAGTTAAACTACGGTTCCTCAATGAAAAATGAGAGTATCTAGAAATATTAATTCTTTTAGCTTACACACAATTTTTAACGAAACCTCATAATGATAAATATTACTGAAACTGTAGATAGATAGAAAGTAACTCAAACACAATGATGATTAATGAAATGGAGCTTGATAATGAAAAAAACATCACTTATTTGGTAGAGTCCTAGAGACTATAAATTACGGTGATTGAAACGTCTTGATAAATAACTCATAAAACAAATTATTGACAAGCTTGCTGGGATTTTCCTCCATGTTTCTTCATGAAAATTAATATATACTTTTGAGATTATTGAAATAGAACTTGGTAATACTCTAATTTAAACTTCTTTGATAATTACAAACAACACTAAAAATTATTCTAGGTTCTTTTACAATTCATTATTCTATCATCTAACGGTATTATACTCTGAGAACAAAACATTGACATGGTTAGATTTAATGGCTAATTTTATTGAAACCAAAGAATCACTTCAAAATCATCAGTAAAAAACTTTAATCAACTAAATATATTCCATGTAATTATTCTCCTGGATAAAGTAAGAACGACAAGTATTGTAAAAGGAAGTGAATTGATTCTATTTCGTGTACTTTAAGTTTTCCACATACAAATAAACAAAATGTTTTATAAACGAAGTTTCGTAATCTTATAAGTTCAATTTATAGTCGAACGAAATAAGCGAGAGTGTGTGTCAGAGAGAGAGAGAATATGACGTAATGGAATACAGGAAACATGTACAAATTACTATGATCTTGATAAACAAAATGAAAACAAAATTGAAAGCAATAAACAAAAAATAACAGTAAAGTAATTGTTATAAACGTATGTATGCCGTCGCTAATTGTTATAAACGTAAAGGAGAGGATGCTGGTATAACAGTAGGGGTTCTTGTTATAACAGTCCTTTTACTTCTTAAACGTATGTGGGACGTTAATTTATCTTAGACGAAATCTACACTAGATTCCCACCAAGTGTCTATTCTACAGGACTTCAACAGAACTCAGATCAAGAACACAATGTTAGCCTGACTATGACGTCAATATATTTCCACCAAAATCCGACACAAAGAACAGTTAATCAATAAGTGTCCATCAACAAGGAACAGTCAAGAAGTCCATACATAATAAGGATAGGGAAATATATATATAACACATAACACCTGTCATCCCCTCTAATGTCTGACTCATCGAGACAACCAATCATTGACATTCTCGCCCACACATCAGTAATCATGATAATAAAATTATTTTTATTCACCGTAAATTAAAAAAATGAAAAACTGACTAAAATGTACAGTGAAAATGTTATTGCAATTAACCAATATATAAATGACTTTGTGTATTTTTGGAAGTTGAGATCACGAATCAATTGAAGCTAGAACACAATAGAAAACTTAGAAGCACTGGATAACCATTTCTCCCGTTATGAGACTTCTCAGCAGTGCACATCCACGATCTCGCCTCGCCAGATCCGAACCCAATACCTACCAGCCTCGCGCCGGCGCACTTAACCGACAGACCACTGAGCCGGAATCCAACCGATCCACGAAATTAAGCAACCGTCCATCAATGTCTTCAGTGAGTTACTATCTCACAACAGACCCAGTTGAACTCCACTGGTCACTGCTTCTCACTAGAACTCTGGGAAATACCTTATGGACCCTAGTCACTAGTGAGCATATGTTGATTATTATCAGAGGGATTTTTTTGTATATTACAAACAATTGTGAAATATTTTATTTATTCATGCAAATCTATGGAAGACTAAGAGTACAAAAAATGTAATGAATTCATATAATCTCATAATGTATATGGTTTATGGTTAATGAATGTAAATGTGATTGGTCAATGAACCTGTACTGACAGATACAGCTTACTGACTATTTAATTTGTGATGTCTTTCCTTTTATTGATTTTTGTTTTGGATTCACTGAATTCAAACTGTTTGTTATTGTGTTTAATGAAATATTTTCTACCTTTTTTCGCTAATTCTCTGTAATTAATCTTGAATAGTGCATTTGATACAATGTGGTCAATTCTAACAGTAATACAGTTTCGGTCACTGGTTATATTATCGTATTATAGTAGCATATCATGTCAAATAGAAATTACTTCTAAGGTGCTGGTTGGAGGTGGTCAACAGGAAACCCTGGACCCGGGTTTTGTGCTACTTGGCACTCGTCAGAAAGGTGTAATCTTGAGGGAACTGGTGCTCCCAGACGGATTTGATCCCGTATCACCAAGCTTCATAGTCAGAGACGTTACCACTGAGCTCTTCGGGCCGCGACCGACTTCCTGTAGGACTGAGATGTAATCACAATTGATTGATCACTAGGTGGTGATCAATGTCATGCGAGTCAAATCCTTCTTAGTGCTGATCGAATGCTATCGAACAAGTTGTAATGTTGCCACTAGTCTAAATAGGTCGACACTGCGTGCACTATGTTGAGATAAGATGGTGGTTGGAGGTGGTCAACAGGAAACTCTAGATCCGGGTTTCGTGCTACATTGCATTCGATCAGCACTAAGAAGGACTTGACACGCATGACGGTGATCACCACCCAGTGATCAATCAATTGAGAAAGTACTGTTATTCTCCTGTTTTATCAATTTTTTAACCTGGACAAGTGTAGACAAGCTTGTTGAGTAAAATGTTGGAATTATTTAAATTCCAATCACTGTTATTATTTCGAATACTAACATTCGATGATAACATTTTCGATAGACAATAAAATTCACTAATAAGATAAAAATGAAAAACACAAATGTTTGTTCCAAATGCCGCAACAGATATCTACAACTAATCTAATAATCATAAGAGTAAATTCATCGACAAATTTCGTAAATGCCTAATGAATAAAGTATAATTTCTATAGGATTCAAACTATGGACTTATTTGTGTTAGTGTACTAAATTGGTAAGAGCCAGTGTAATATCAAAGGAAAATTTTGTTTACAACGAGTTGTGCAACAGATTGTCTGTGTATGATATCATTATCCTGTAAAATGTTTGATACAGAAAAAATGTTACTGAAATTTTAAAACATCGACAAGAATGGAATGAACAGTAACATTTTAATGTTGTGCAATATTGTAAAGCTGACGTCACACTTCATTAAAAAGTAAATAAGAAAGACTAAGGCAATTTTCATTTGACTGACAGTCTGAGTAGAAGACTAATGATAACATACATACATAAACACTTATAAACACGTTGTTAGGTTATTTAACTATGTATACAATTTAATGTTGTCTATGCGTTAAATTTCGGATACTGTTTGGATGATTTATTTGCATAGTACACTGTATGCACACTTCTTTTTATAAGTTCCCTATCAAATGTCAGCCAGAAAATTGTCAAAGCAATACATAAAAATAGGTCGTATGACAGAAAACGATTAACCCGTTGTTTAACTGTCTTGAGAAAAAAACAGAATGATCTGATCTGAAAGAAAAGAGTACTGGGTCTTGACAATAAATCTACAGTTAAATGATTTTAGTCGAATAAGGTTTGTTCATAAATTATAGTCTTGCAGAAGTTAATTCTTGAAATCATAATTTCTGAGCTTTTTATGCTTGACAATACTATACGGTTGAGTAAACTTCAGTATTATGACATGATTCCCATCGGTCCAAAAAGGGAATCATTTCATAGTTGAATTGAATTCAACTTCGGCATCTCAAATGGTAATCAATAAAATTAACCAAACTATTTGAACAGTCGTTGGTTCTATATTGTCTTTTGTTTTCAGAGATTTAAATGATGATGCTCTCGTCAAACCAAAGGTTGTGAGTTCAGTCTCTCAGTTTAAAATATTCTTTAAATTGAGCACTACTTAGAATTACAAAACAATGTGCTCAGTGTATTAACAATGGTAACAAAAGAATAAACTACTAAACAGGAGGAGTGAAGGATGACTTACTGGTTTAAAACAGCATAGACCAAAACAATTTCGAAATATATACCAACCACTAGTCTGCACTGGACGATATTTTTTTATTCCATTTACTTTGCCAGTTACCAAATGATCAGATATATGAGTTATTGTAGTGGTCATTGTTGATAGCATTGATAGTTCTTTATTGGGAGATGAGTTTAATAATTTTTCAGCCGGTTGTTCCACATCCCAATCATCATCAAATTCATTTTTGCTAATTTGTGGACTATAACGATCTAGGATTTGTTGATTTTCTTCTGAGTCTTTTGGTAGTATCAAAAGAGTAGGACTTATTATTTCAGTATTGCTATCATTATTATTATTAGTATAGATTTGGATGGTATTATGGGATCTTTCTGATTCATTTATATGATTGTCACACTGACGAAGTTTAGAGTAATAACGAACAAATTTCTGTTAGGAGAGAAAGGACAATGAAAAATAGAATAAAAAATCTGTTATATGGAAAAGTGAATTGGCAAAATCCTATTAACCACAATACATATGATTAAGATAATCCTATCATGAAATGATAATATTTATTAAGTTAAATGTTATTGATGAATGTTTTCGTAGAGAACCAAATCTTAACTACTAGGAAATGAGTGTAAACTGTGAGGCCCTAAATAGCTCGTTTTTGTTTTAGGAATAGGGAAATGTAGATAAGCAAGAAACTAATGAGCTTGCATCATATTCTGCTTATTAATAAGACTTCAAAGTTACGATTTCAACTACTTGTTGTGTTGAAAGTACGTGCTGCTTACAGGTTTCAAGCCAGGAATGAGATAGAGATATTTATCTGTCTGTAGTTTAAGATGATTGTTTTGTCACAAATTGATATGTTTATTAAACATTTCAATTCCCATTTTAAGATGATTTGAAAATATTAGATTTAGAAGAGAAACGTGTTATTAAAATTTATCTTATTACGTGTGTATAAAACAATAATTCGATTTTAATACATGTTTAGCATGGTCTAAAAACTATGCACCCTGCTTATTCCTTTCATAAAATAGTATCATAACAAGATAATTAATATTTCAGGTTAATTACTATGGTAAAATTAAATAGTTATCAATTAATACCTTAACAATCCAATCTCTAGTCGATCGCATTTACACATACATAATTGATCATGAATGTGATCCGTTACTAATATATCCATTGATATAACACATCGATAGTATTTTTTTGCATAGTCACGTAAATTCTCGAGAAGTAAAAAAGACGAAACAAACCAACATATTCTATCATAAATACAATTTTAATTTATACGAATATTCGTCAAGATTAGAACGAATAGCTTGACAAAAATTGGGCACCGAATATAGAGAAGTCATTATATGTGAAAAATTATATTTGGAGTAGTCTCAGCGATTGAAATTTAAATAATTCCAACGTTTCGTCCAGCTAACTTGTCTAAACGTCTTCAGGGTAATAATCAAAATCATCAAAGAAATATATGGTGTTCTTTAACAATCATATCAAAAACTATACTACGTTAATTTAGTCTTTGACATTTTATTAATAGGTTTATATCCTTATAGTAACCATGAATGCATTTATTTAAAAAAAACATTTTTCAAATATTAGACCTAACAACTATTTGAAAAAAAGCTTAGGTTCAATTCAATCGTGTCTTGTCGATACTTTCACAGAATATATAACTAACTACACTTGGCATAGTTTTCTGGGTAGAATAAATTATTTTTATTAACCAGACCATGAACGGGATACTCCTAGCGGTAACCAATTTAAATTGAGTTCACTTTCTTCAAAATTGAGTTAGAATAGTAATTCGCAAGAAACTAATTCAATATATAATGTTTATTTTCTTCAACATACAGGTTTTAGTCGTCACAGAATGATCTCAGCCGGGAACGACTCAAAACCATGTAGGAATACACAAATGTTTCGTCCTAGTATGTGGTATTTAAAGATTATTCGCTCACCACTGCACTTATGATCAAATATAGGATCTTCAGGTCTCGGGTGGGACACTTAAAATTTAGAACCACCGGGTAAGCGTCCAATAGAAACAGTTTATAGCCACATGCCTTTTTTATACCACTCGGAGTCTTCATAAAATATATCCCATTAAAAGCTAGTTTTTTCTTTATAGAGTGGTTTTAATTGTGGACAATAAGTTTTGTTATTGAAAAATGGGTGTTTTTATGGTTAAAATGTTTTACTAAGATCAGGAGTATATTTTCATCAAGTGAATACTTACATGAATGTAGGACTTATAAACATTCTGCCCTAAAAAATGATACAAACCCTTACACTATGGAATTCATATAAATATGAAAAGGTTCCTGGGGTATACAATAGAAACACTGGAAACGTGATGGAAATTATTCTCGGAAAAGTTACATGCAACTGATACCGAATAGATGTCCTGAACACTAATACAATATGAAATCAGTTTTATGGTTTTCATTTTAACCTAATGTGTTTGATTGATTCTTGTAAATAGTTTGTAAAATATCTCTAGTATGCTTACAGTGGAAAGATTTATTGACTAAAGAATAAATAAATGAAATCATTGGTAACTTTTCTAAAACCATGGTTACCATTTACATTAAATTTCTGTTTATTATACGTGAATAATTTATGTATTATACATTAACCTACTAACAAGTAGACGTACTTGTTAATCCTAATTTTTTTCCAATTCAATACCTGATGTTATTCTTACTCCGTTTTTGGTTTTTAAATATCACGTAAAGACAACTTTTTTGTCAATTTGATGCAACACTGAAATAAAATAACTTATTCTTCAAACTAGATATATACTAATGGAGATATATGAATAAAAGCAGTGGATTTTATTCGTACTAAACGTACAATCCCATTATTGCAATTAACATGGTATTACGAAATATATATATAAAATAGCTCAGAAATAACTCATAAATTGTAGATTTGTTCATATTTTGTTGTAGAGATTTTACATTATTGTAAACCTTCTTACCTTTTATCGAATCATTTTAATATAACTGCTTTTTATGAATATAATTATTTTATATAGTTGAAATCATGAGTCAATTGAAGCTAGACCACCATGGAAAACCTGGAATCACGTGGCAGCCGTTTCGTCCTATTGCGGAATCGTGGATGCGCACTGCTGAGGAGTCCCACAAAAGAACGAAACGGCCGTCCAGTGCTCCCAGGTTTTTCATGGTGGTCTAGCTTCAATTGACTCATGATTTCAATTATATAAAATTACTAAAATCTCCACAAAATTCTCTTCTGATAGTATAATTATCATGTTAGTTGCGATCATTAAGTGTTGTTATACTATCAAAAATCTTTTTAATTTTAAATGAACATAATTCCAATTTGTTACTGACATATACAGTTGGTTTGGTAGAGTTATAAGTTCAAAATTTTAGAAAACTGAGAAAAGTATGAGCATTGAAATTCATGAATAATTTGTATCGACATGATACTACATCCATGTACCAGTTTCCTTTTCTGTCTCATTCTGATTTCACTTTTTAGCACTGTCAAATAAAACTACATTACACAGTATAAACTATGTTTAGTATGAATTAAATCAACCATGTTTACTATTGAATATAATTAGTTTAACCACCCATAGTATTAAATATTCGACATATAACCTAGAAATTATCAAACATATTCGTGTGTGGTATCTCAATGTGTGTAATAATAGATCTCCGTATTAAAAGTCAATAAAACTGAACTAGAAATGATCATTTTATATTCCTTGCTTAAAACTAAATTGATGATTTCAATATTATTCACTGAATACAACAATAGTCATTATTTAGGTTAAAGGATACAAATCTTTTGTATTGTTTTTTTGCTTACATGTTTCTGAATTTTAAACTTACTAAAAATAATTTTTTTCTCAATATCAGCAACTATTGACCATTGAATGTCCGATGTTTAACTTGATATTCACGGTTGTTTAAATTAACACAGTAACTTGTCATAACATGAATTATTTATTGTTTCCCAATACGGTGATTTATTTTGACAAATTAGTTTTATCATTTATTTATTTGAACATATAAACATTAGTACAAGGAGGCAGCAAGTGGATATGAGCCATACAAATCATCCGATTTATGCGAGAGCTGAGGTACTGCCCGGGTGCCCAAACCGAAGCAGATGATTTTCTTGTGGGGCCGATTCCCGAGCCTTCGACCTAAAGGTCTAATCCACAAGGTAGTGAAGCAACGTTAGGAGATGCATTCCCATAGTAGCCGGTGACCAACAGTAGGTTCATACTCTATTTGTTTCCTTAGTATCTTGGTGCCCATGTGCACCATTGATTTGGAACTAGGGTTTTTCAACACCTCTAGGTGGACACACCGTGTCCACCAACCCGCTTAAAGCGACGAAAACTTGCTTTCCCTCCTCGCAATTTCGTAAACAACAGCTGCGCTGAAAGAAGAAATTGAGTAGGACTTTCCTGGCAGTGATTGTATGAATGTGGCCATGTGAGAACATAGTGATAGAGAGATGAATTTCCCCACTCATGGCCGTACCAGGACATTTGGGGGAAAATTAGATGTCATGAAAAATGTTGCAATAATATTCAAATGCAGTAGCCAAAAAATGTTTTTTTTTAAATTATAAAATAATAAATTTATTGTTTCGGTATAAATAAATCAACATCGTTTTCTAATCACTAGATTTCACAATTCTAATGAATTATAATATATTAAACAAATTTTATAAGATGATGTCTGGATAGTAACTATTAATAATATATCAATAATCCGTAGTGATATACATCTTTTTTTACATTCAATAATCAGCATAATTTTTTATGCTTTAAAATAGAATTTGAAATAATTATTTTCATTTATTCCGATGGGATAAAACATAGTATATTTAATTCACTTAGTGATGTTTGTTTGAATCTTCCCTTCGATGCTCTAGGACTGCAACTGGTCAGTCTCTTATTGGCATATGTGCATGCTCTGCGTATTGCCTCAATATAGCCTTAATTCACAAGCATTATAAGCAAAGATGGATAGTGGCTAGCAGTGGAATCCAGGACGCACAAGTGTGGTGTGGTCTACTTATATCCATATAAGCAGTATATGGTGTTGGTCAGACATAGAATGTATTTTGGCAGAAGACTGATGAGGAAAGAACTGAAACGAAGCGCAATCGGTAGGAAAATGCACGAACAATGGAATTAGAGAAGAAACAGTGAAGATTGAGACTATTGGTTGTTAATTTGCAAATTAACTGTCCATTGTATGGTTATCAGAATTTACTGAGATTTTTTGCTTAAATACATTCGATTGTCCCTAGTCGTGTTCTGTTCACTACACAAGTAGCCATAAGGATTCAGTAGCTAAGTGGATAACGAGATGACGTTTGAAGCGAAAGGTACTGGGTTCGAGTCACAGAGTGAACATCAACTCTGA